TAGTGGAAATCTTATTAAAACACTGAACACTTACCGGGAATATGAATGACAAGATTTATCTGAAATGAGAGATAATAACTCATCTCAACAAAAAATATTTGTTTATAAAAAATTAATTTAAAACATTATATAATCCTCTTATGAATACTTACGTGAAACGCGCCGATTGTGACAAAAAGTGTGTACAAAGTCTGTATAGAAATTGATTTTTAAAAATTATTTTCATATTAGACTAATTATAATAATACCTACTGTACTACTACTCATGACTTTTTATAAGTTACATGATATAAAATATCATTTTTAAAAACTAGGCTTAATTATATGGCTTTGTTGTATATTAATATACAATTTATGTTTGAATTACGAAATAATCTACTTTGAGACACAATGTAAACATGTCTCGACTTATTTGGACAAATATTATTTGATCAATACTCGGGAAAAATATAATAAATGTCTACTCGTAATAAGTCAAATGTAATTTAATATTAGATAGGATTATATTTGACAAAATATAAGCTTTCACTTTAAGTCTACTGTATTTTAATTATTACAAAGTCATAATTTCTGTCGAAACTTTTTATTTTTAATACGACATACCAGTATTACAGTAGTACAAAGTATTTTAATTAAAATAATTAAAATCTATTTAATGACATAGATTTCTCATTAGTCTAGACATAGCTCGTATTAAGTGATTATGTCGTAAAAATATAATTATTTATATATTTTTATAAAGCTTATATAATAATTCTAGTAAATTAATATATTCTACAGAATATTCTGTGTAATATTCATTGCATAACAACTGAAAATAATAATAAAAATAATATTTAATTAAAATATATATTAAATAGAAATATTTATAGATAATTTATGTTTTATTACATATGACTACAATTAATAAATTTAATTAACATTTAAATGTTTAACTAATAAATGAGAATTATAATAAAAGTGATATTTTCCACGCTTACAAATTGAAATTTGATACAGTAATAATTTTCTATCAAGCTAATTTTATACTCCATTTCGACTATTTTTGTGGATAAATATAAACACATTATTGAATTGATATAAAATACCAAACAATTAGTAATGAATACATTAGTTGTTTATTCAGTAATCACTCGATTCGCTATTCATAGTACTGTTCCCGAAATATGGGGGACGCCTACACGGTGACAAATGATATGTTTATTTGGCAGCCAATTAATGTTGTAATTGTAACTGTCCATGCACTTTAGTGCCATAGTATGCAGTTTGAATTTTATTTACATTTTAAATACTGTATATACAACTAAATCATAAAAATATTTTATTGCAAATGCATATCAAAGTTATGTTTTTCAAAGTATTTGGTGTTTAAAGTTTGAAATAAAAGTTTATACCAAAAATAAATGACATTTAATAACATTTATTAGTAATCAAATTATTAGTAAATAAATTATTACATTGTAATACCTTAGCTAGTCTATATTAAATCACTTTTTGATAGTACAGTATATTCTGAATTTACACCGTATTACTGTAATATATTAAATTAAATAAAGTTTTAATATATTATTCAAAATGTACTTTATCAAATTCAACTGAGAATAAAAATTGATTGCAAATGTTGTTTATATCCCAGGCATTTGGTTGTCCATGCACTTTAGTGCCATAGTATGAAGTTTGCAGTTATTTTTTGGATTCCTATTTTGAATACTTTTAAAAGCAATTTATATGCAATATTATACTTTATGATAATAATAATATGGTAAAGTAATATTTTAATATTACAAAGTTTTAATATTATTCAAAATTAACTTGAAGCAAGACCCAATAGGGAATAAATATAGATTACAAATGTTGTTTATCCCGGGCATTTGATTAAAAACAAATAAAATCGCGAAAAACTGCATAAACTTTCATTTAATTAGAAAATGTTATAAAAATAGATAACTTCTAGAATAGGATTATATTATTCAATACCTGCCATATATATGGCAAAAGCTTTTTAACACATTTGATCGTAAAATTTGTTTTTGTTTTTCTTTATGGCTTTTGTGTCTTATATTTCAAACAAGATTTTATTTTATCCAAAACTAAAGCTATAATTTTGAATGTGTTTTCATGGCATATAAAATTAATTTCTAAGTCTATGTTATAAACAAAGTCTATATAAAACACAAAAGTATTATATTTTTATTGGCAAATGTCATGGACCTGAAAATGAGCTAGATATTAATTTTATGTGCGTTTATTGAAATCATAATTCATAAGCAAAATAATATAAATAAATATACAGTAATAATAATAATATAATAAATTGTTTGAAATTAAATAAATGTTTTATTTTTTTGGTGTGCATTGAATATCAGTAAAACTTTTCACAAAAATAAAATATACACTGATCAAATAAAATTAATTGCACTTTTATTTATTTATGTAAATGTTGGGTAAATAATGACAAAATAGAAATGATTAAGAATTGGCATCAAAATTGTCTATATTTGCTATATTTGACAAATAATAGCAAATAGAGTACACATTTAAAAGTCAACATTTGATAGCAATTTGTATGACTTGTGTATTAAAACAATTCCCGGGTTTTGAACATAAATTTTCAAACATATCGTTGAAATTGTTTTTAGAATTTAGTACTGTATTTATTATCGGATATATTCCGGTACATTTAATATTACAATCTACCTACCATTAAATAAATGTTTCACTAAACATTATACATTAAAATTTTAAAATAACATTTTAAGCTAGATAAAATTTTCAACACGCTACAATTTATTTGACTTATGTATTAAAACAAGCTTTAAATTTAGTTTTGTTTATCACAACTTTTAAATATATAATCACTTAAATTGTTTTTGTTATGCAGAAATTGTAATTTCACAAATAAGTTTCTATTACCAAGCAAAAATGTAACAAAAAATATAACTATTTTCATACAAGTTTACTAAATGTTACAAAATATTATGCAAATAACATGATAAATAAAACGACAGGAAACATAACTTTTATTAATATATCCTTAAGGTACTTTCTAAATCATAAATAACTTTTATAAATTTTATAATTACAAATACACATACATCATTTAAAAACCCATTTGAATCAAGGTCCTATGTATTGTGAAACTTAAAATCAACAACTGATCAGAAAATTCAAAGTCATGGTAAGAGTTTATTTAGTATTAGTCTACCATTCAATAAAATACACTTTCATTGATAATCTACGATATATTATATAATATTTTAAATGTCAAAAAACTTCACTAAATTATCTCATGAATACCATATATTTGAGTGCTTGTCTAGTATTGACCACAATGTGGACAACTGTCCACTCTATACACTTGAAATGTGTCGTAACTTTTAGGCCACCATTTGTCATAAAATTTGAGGACAACGGGTACGAGGGCTTCGCCTTAGACCTGATCCACGCGTTGTCACGAGTCGTGCCGTTCAACTACACGGTATATCTCACTCCCAATGAACGATATGATAGAATAGATGATGACAATGATCACCCGGCAATTGTACGCGAATTGAGTAGCAAGGTTAGTACGCATACACTCCCGGTGCCAGTGCCCTAACGAATGAATTTTGTGGATAGAGGGCCGACATTGCGATTCTCGTCAAACACCAATGGGACGGCCAGTTCATTGATTTCAGCGAACCCTATATGACGGCACACTTGTCGGCTCTCATCCATAAGAGGTATATCGCAAATATGACTTCCTTTGCAGATATTTTAGACAACGTACGGTACTCTCCGGGGTGGGGCCAGCTTTCGGTACATGATGGACGTGTTTTTGGACTATACCATCAGTAAAATGTTTGACCATATGGTCTGGATGATTCTGTGGACGGGGAGGTCGAGAAGGTTCTCAATACTAACTATGCGCTCATTGAGGACTCGGTGTTTAATGAGTACGCAATGGACCGCAACTGTGAGCTCACAGTCATTGACCACAAACAGGAGTACAATCCCATAGAGTATGTGATTGGACTGCAAAGGGATTGCCGTTTGACTCGATCGCCGTATAAGGCGGACATCGATAGAGCCGTAAGACAATTGAAAACTGATGGGACAGTCGACAGATTGAAGAGGAAGTATTGGTGAACAAAGTGTTTGAAAGGCTCGGATGTGGTGTCAGTGAAGGCTATCACGTGTGCCATCACTTGGCTAAGTCTCATAGCATCGATCCTTCCCTCAAAAGTACTTTTCAATTAAAATACATTTTTATTTACTATTCATTTCAATACATATTTGTATCGGTATTGCATAACTTTACGCAAAACAAAATGTATACAACATAAATAACAAATATTTTAATCAATTTATAAACACCTAAATACACTTTTACTAATATAAATAATTTTAATCTTGGACATACGTGTCAAAACTCAAGGTCTAATACTTTTCTTTATAAAAAATCATTGACTATTTTATATGACATAAATATTTTCTCCGTTAAATAATCGCACAAAATCATGTATTTGTGTCAATATCTGGTGGTCATGTTATTGACCACAACATGGATACCTGTCCACTCGCTGCAACTAAGAGGTGTGACAAGAGTGAGCCCACCATTTGTCACAAAGACGGGGAGTAGTAACCAATTCGAGGGCTACGCCATAGACCTGCTGAACGAGTTATCACGAGTCGTGCCATTTAACTACACTCTGTATCCCGATCCCGATGGCAATAGTGGTAGATCATCCGGAATGATACAGGAATTATTTATGCGGGTCAGTACATGCACTCCCGGTGCTATCATATAATCAAATTAATTATACATATATTGAATACATTGCGCGACACAGAGGGCGGACTTCGCGATCGCAGACCTCATGAAAACCCGAACCCGCGAGCGATATATCGATTTCAGTGAACCCTTTATGAGGGGCCACTTGACGGCACTCATCCATAGGAGAAATGTGCGAAATATGACCACATTTTCCGATCTGGTCAACAACACCGACGTTACCTGTGGTTTAGAGGAGTCGCTTGGGTTCATACGTACGGCTATAGACCCCATCATCTGGTCTATGGTACAACACAATGGCAGTGCTCTCGTCAACTCGGAACAAGAGGGGGTCGATAGGGCTCTCAGTAGTAGCTATGCGTTCATTCAGGCCTCGGCGGCCAATGAGTACCAAATGGGATCTAACTGTCATCTCACAGTCATTCACCACAAACAGGAGTACTATCCCATAGAGTATGCGATTGGACTGCAAAAGGGATCACCGTATAAGATGGACATCGATAGAGCCATAAGACAATTGAGAAATGATGGGACAGTCGACAGACTGAAGAGAAAGTACTGGCGAACAAAGTGTCTGAAAGACTCGGATGTGGTGTCAGTTGCCGTCAAATTAGGTGCCATTAGTTCACTGTGTCTTATACTGTCGGCTCTCATCTCATATGTTAATATAAATATCAATTGATATGAATTTTGTAACAAATAAGTCTTACTTTAAAGACATGTTATATAATTAAGATTTATTTTTTATTTTATTATATTATGATTTTATAAATTCAAATACATTTTTACTATTATAAACAGTGCTATTTTTGGTTTACAGGTACAATATAATGTTAAAACTCTAAGTCTAATACTATACGTGTTTAACATAATAGACAATTTTATTCTCCATTAAAAACTATTTTATAATAATAGCATGTCATTGCTTACTTATATTATACAAGGGTGTATTTGTTTGATTTTTATTTTCATAATCTCTATGGCATACTGAATACATTCATAATAATCCTTAGTTATGGACATCAGGTGCCCGTAATGTGCACTTAAGCACAACTTATGAATTGTTTTGTGAAAATATTTATGAACTTAGTTTTCATGTGATATTTCAAATGACAAATTATTCTATATTATTATGATTTTCCACTTTCAAAAATTATATTAGAAATAAGACACCGAAATAACAATTTGTTTTAAATAACGCATTGTTTTTGCAATGAATATACAAATATATTTTATACAAATGAATACTTAAACAAGTAATAAATATTCATGTATTCAAATCAAGTGTTAAATTAAATTGGAGTTAAATTAGATTTTGTAATAGTATGGCACATAATATGCAAAAGTGTATTGAATAATTTAGCAACATTTTCATTATAATGAATCAAAATCATGATAATATAATTGATTGACAAGAATATCAAAGTTGACAAATAATATAATATTGTATTACTGTTCAGTATATTGTATAGAAAATATTTTTACTTTTATAATCAAGGTCTTAATATTTTTGAGTTAATTTAATTTAATGAATTAGAAATAATTTTAAAAATAAATTATTTGTAACCACAATTGTATAAAACAAAAACTTATTCAAGAATTTTTGCATTTAAAACTATTTTTACTATAAAAATATAAATGGGAATACACTTACCAGGGTATATATTCCACAGGCAAAGCTTCCGCTTCGCAAAGTTTTCGCACCAAAACAACACGATTTGATTATTGCCATCATTTGTGGCCACAATTCACATCATATATAAAATATATGTCAACGAAAACACTGATCGGAGAAAAATCTTTCGCAAAACACTTATATTTATGACTTTTAGCCGTTTTAGGTGTGCATTGAATGCAAGAATATTCTGTGAGATTCACTCGACGTCTAGACGTTTAGCCCATCATTTCATATGAGACTCAATCGCATCGTTAAGTCCTCTCATCTCTCGATCACTATATATAAGGTTAATCTGTGCTGAAAACGACATCCCTGTGCCGTGCAATCAGCGATATTGTAGTGAAAGTGTTAGACAACTGGTATTTAAACCATAGCTATAATAGACAGACAAACACTACACATCTGCGCCCAAAATCCATGTGCACTCATATGTAGGCATAAAAATCGATATAATCTTCATATATATTGGATAGTTTGCATTAGCAATTAGAAAGTGGCCCTGATATAAAACTAGCCAATTATTTACATACATATCCAGTGAAATATAATAATTTTATTGAAGTAATTTAATCATGGAAATTATTTTAATTATGAATGTTGTTAATGGGTAGATTTATTAATTATCCTAGACCATTTTTAAGTCCACAGATACAGGATTTTGTTACAAGTGTACTTTTTTTAGGGCATACAGCAGACTCCTCAAAGATAGGCTCCTTGGAGCCTAATTCTTACACGTTTTTAATATCCTTCATATGTTTGGCTCACAAATATAGTACACATTAGTGTCAGTGAGAGTTATAAAGTATTAACTGGAAATTATAAACTGTAATTTTTAAATAAAGCATTTATTTTAGTATTTATATGTCTAAAACATTAAATAACTCATAGAAATGTATTTTGTTAGTTTCTATTAGTTAAGTTTGTGAATATTTTTAAAACTCTTATTCTCCATTCAAAATCAATATAGAA